CGATTCACTGTTCTGTACTGGGATTGAAAATCAGTAGAGGAAGTTTCGTGTGATAGTATCTCGGTTAGCTTACTCCGATGGAGGTTAGTCGCCAGCCGGGTATTCGAACCGAGAGGGTCTAGAATTCTTTAGTCAAGATTCAAGATTTGCCAAGAACTTTTCGCAGTATATCTTTCAATTGAAATGAACTTGGGGGATTACAATTGAATTCACTACAGACTAGGGGGAGACATACCTAGCTGACCTTTCTCGTACTTGAAAACCAGAACGTTCACTTGCTTTCTATTTGTCTGTACTTGCAATCAACTTCAATCGAACTCCATTCATAGATAATAGAATCGTACGGAAGAACTACTAGACCTAGAACCCAGATTGACATTTATAACCTGATCCACTATACTGCATTGCTAGACTGCAATTACACTTGGTCGTAGTTTAATTGTGTCGGTTTTAGCGAATCAGAAAGATTGCTTTGGATATAGGTAAATACTCACTCTGGTATATGTGAAGCTGATAGAATGTATACGTAGAAGCAAGCGTAGATAGTGGTAGTTGTAAACATATAGGAAATTGATCTGATGGTCTATAATGATGTGATACCAATATGAGTAGAGTAATTTAACATAGGTTTTCCAAAAAAAAAATCATCAAAATCATCAAACACCCTCATTGAAACATTGTTCGAAGAGATGTGAACCGTGTTGTTATGATTGTTCAAGAAGTCAATGTGCATTAATTAAAATCAAACACCACGTCCTCGCCGGAAAACAGTAACGTGTTAGATCAAATAATTCTTAACGTAGGATTAGAGCAATTTTCGGGGGACGAATTCATCCCACATCCTCCCTTGGACTCGAGTAGTTTTCTCCATATCTATCCGAATCCAGTCACATTCCTAGCCTCAAATCAGTTTCTCCATATGATCCAATTGCAGTCAGAGGGTGGTGACTGGTGCATCATCGTGCCAGAGCTAGCTAGGGTTCATCCCTTTTCCCGCCTGATCCGAGCCCGGCCGCACCGAGTCCTTATTTTCGGGGCTAGCTTTGTCCATGCACAAACCAACACCGTTTGGTTGTTGTTATTGAGTATTGCAGCCACTTCCCTTTCCTTTTCCTCGTCTTCGGTGGCACGTACCGACCGTAGCCATTCTAGTGTGATGACGTTAATGGGTTAGCTAGCTTCCCCGTCGGACCTCGCAAAGGCCTGGTAGAGCTTACGTAGCTAAATTTGTTGGGGCATTTTTCATTCCGTGTCATTTCTGTTTGCTAGTCCTTGTGATTTCACCTTGTACTTTTCTGCTTAGGCTTCTGCCCCCCGTTCGTACGTGAACATTGTTGAGGGTTTGTGAAGCTTAAGTTTATTGTGTTTTTATAGTGGTTTTCATGGGATTTGGGCGGGGCCGGCTAATGGGTTGTGTCCGGAGGCCATTCGGCACAAGACCACCGAATATTAGGGGTCTCTACTCTCTACCGTAGTTCTGTTAGTAGATCCAATTCTATATTAAGTATATGATGAATTTGTAGTATATGGTTGATCGATTATGGTTAAAATAATACTTTAAATCAATTGATTAATACTATAGTATTAGTCATTGATCAATATAAATATTCCTATTTTATATAATTAAAAGCACAAACACTTTATACTATTCATTAGTAAAAGGTATTTTATCTATGGTTACTGTTTACAATGAAATTTTATCATATATACTAATTTTACCATAATCCCATTTTTTTCTCCCTACAACAAATTCTACGATAAGTCTAAAACTCATATGAAATTCTACGATAACATATTTTCTCTACATTCAAATTAACATTATACAAACACTTCGTAGATCGGTTATTATCCCATTTTTTCTCCCTACAACCAATTCTACGATAAGTCTAAAACTCATGAATTTCTACGACAAGTTTATTCTCTACATTCAACTTAACATAATACAAACATATCGTAGATCTATTACTATCCCCTTTTATCTCCCTACAACCAATTCTATGATAATCTAAAACTCATATGAAATTCTACGATAAGTTTTTTTCTCTATATTCAACTTAACATTATACAAACATTTCGTAGATCGGTTACTACATATATATAATTAACTAAAACTCTTTTATTTTCAATGGTTATACAATATTAAATTATTCATTTACTATTAAGCGCAATTCCATTGATGTTAACAAAAATATTTAACAGATCTAATCATATGTTACTTTCTAAAATTTTATTTTAACATTAGACCACACATTATAAAACATTTATGCAATAATGTTCTATAATAGTTCTTTATCTCCTACATCCAATTTTACCATAAGTTCTTGATTAGTTCACTTTGACATAATAATTTAATCATATGTTACTTTGTTACTTTCTAAAATTTTATTTTTTTATTATTAGGTAACCCATTACTAAATATTTAAGTACCAACATTTTATAATAGTTACACAAATTAAAAATTCATCAATGTTAGTTACTATAAATCGATTTTATTATTAGAACACACATTATAAAAAATTTATGTAATAACTATCTATAACGGTTACATGAGTTTTCCTTAATGATTAAACAATGCGTAAACTTTATATATATATAGTTATTTATTGTGTATCACTTAAACAAAAGGATGACTCATGTTATTCGTAGTGATTAAAACATCAAGTGAAACTTATATGTGTATCTTATTTGAATAATTTTGTGAATTATTTGATTTAAACTAAATCATTAGTTTCTTCGCCAAAAAACTAGTTCATGTTAAAGTGTAATTTGTAATATGAAAGCACTTGTTATAAAATCACACAAAATTGCTAAAATTAAGTAACTAAAAGTATCAGGAAAGCTTTCCTCGAGCGAAAGATAAACTAGTTGCAGCAATAACAAAAAAGATGGAATGCGTTAGCGTGATTACTCAAATGAGTAATCACGGTGGCTACTAATATCTACACCTTTCATTACTTTTATTTTAACCTATTTTTAAATGTACGGTAAAGATTAGATTAAGGGTAATTTCATAAACAAAAAATTATACACACCCGATTACAATCTCTTAAAATAAAATTTTCTATATATTATTATCAAAACCCTACTAGCTACACCCCTCTCAGACGTTGCCGCCTCCATCCCCCGTGATCCCCTCCGCTCCTACAGTCCCTCTTACTTGCCGTCGTTGGCCAAAATCCCCCCGGCCACCTTCCCTTCACTCTCTCTCTCTCTCAACCTCCATCCCCTCCCCTATCTCTCTCCACCTTCTTCAGCACACCACCCCCGCCCTCCCTTTCCTTCGTCGTCCACCGCTCCTCCCCACCCCATCCCACGACACCTCTCTCTCTCTCTCTCTCTCTCTCTCTCTCTCTCTCTCTCCGACAGCAGGGAGGAGCCGATGGACAAGCGACCTGAGCGAGTACGAGACCGGAGGTCGTCAAAGTAATCGACACCACTGCCCTTCCTTTTATCTCCGACCCTCTCGTCTCAATGGTATTGTTTTTGTCGCATTGGTATTTATTTTGTTGCATTGGTATTGTTTTTGTCACATTGGTATTGATTATCATGTAATGATATTAATTTGCATGTATTGGTATTGATCAAATCTGCAACGGTATTGATTTTTTGTGAAATGGTATAGATTTATATTGGTAGATTGTTTATATTGGTAGCTTTCGTGTAATGACATAGATTTATTTCTGCAATGGTATTGATATTTTTCAAAGTGGTAGTGGTTGTCTAATGGATTGGTAGTGATTTCGTGTTTTCTTTTCTTTTGCTGAAAGATTGAGAAAAATAAGGAAATGGGATTTTACTGGAGATTATGAAAATGAGAGAAAGAGAAATAATTGTAAATAATAGATTCTTGTAACTACCTAAAATGTATTCTATAAAAAAATTAATTAATACAATATATTTTTCATACTCAATTTATCCTTAGTAACCACGATGATTACTACTTTTTAGGTAGTAATCACCGTAACCTGTCTCAACTTTATTCCAGGCTAATAGCTCTCTTATATCCCCAGGCCTCCTTTTTTTCTTGGCCTAGCCTATGCGCTCCCAGATGACCTTTGCTCTTCCTTACTCCCCACCGTGCCAGAGAAACTGCGAACAGACCCCCTGAAACTACTTTAGCACTCTTTTGGGTAGAACAAATTAAAGACCTGCATCCAGTACTGGACAACTCCCATCAGGCCTGGACTGATGATACAAGTTGCAGCCTAGCTGAGCTTCTTAGAACGCCAGGAGTGGAATAAAGCCTGTAGAGTCATGGAGAGGCAGCCAGGTCTGTAGAAGAACTTGTTAGGCTGCAGGCTAGTCATGATTTGAGTTTTGTGAGTAGATACCTGAATATGCTGAAGATCAAGTATGATCTGATTCTGATATTTATCACAATTATTGGAGCTTTGTTTGGTATGCTTTTGGACGGAAACCAAAGTGATAGTTTCAATTTAGCTCTCAGTCCCATGTATACATGGAATTAGGATCCAAATCCATGAATCCAATCCAATCCATTTAAATCCAATCCATTTGATCCAAATCCAATTGGATTGGTGGATTCATGGATCAATCCATGGATCCAAATGACAAATTACGTTTTGGTACCTATATTTTTTATATTTTACATTTTGGCACCTAAAATTTATATTTTTATACGAAAAATATCATTGGAAAATTACATTTTGATATCTAAAATTTTCATTATGACATTTTAATACCTAAACTTTTCAAAATTTACATTTTTGTCCAAGCCTTAGATGTAATTTGGATTCATGGATCAATCCACCAACCTATTTGATCCAATCCATGAATCCACCAATCCATTGAATCCAATCCATTTGATCCACAGATCAACCAATCCAATCCAGGAATCCGATCCAATTATCACATCCCCTATCCATTAGACCATAAGTCCATAACCATAACCCTGACATATATACCTTCGAAATGACTAATACTAATAGTGAGCAAATTAAAGAGGATAAAGCATTCCCGCTTACGTAGTAGTAAAGGCAGGTAAACTTTATTATTTATTACATTTTTATTATATAATTACACATGCAAATAAGACAAACGAACCCATCACTTCATGCATGGCCTTTCACATGACAACGAAACGAGCACCAAAATGGCCCACCTACGTACATACGCGGCCACCCTTCCTTATTTATTGCGTCTTTTCAACAAAAGCGGTGCTTAATTTTAAACGCATTATTAACTCGTCCACAACCACAACTAATCAATCAAACCAACATTTAGGCAGCAGTAGTAAAATTGAAATTTGCACACGTGGTCTGCCTCCCAAACAGCAACCCGCTGAACCCGACCCTCGAACCCGCCAGATCGAACTCCACAAGATTGTTCTCCAGCTGGTACCCGCCCACCACGATCGCCGTCCTCGGGCTCGACCCGCCGTCCACAAAACCCAGGCACGCCACGTCATCGCTCACCTGAACCATCGTGTTAGCGCCAAACATGCTCAACCCGACCCTCCCGTTCTCCATCACCAGCTCCACCGTCGGCACCCCGTACCCCAGCCGCGTCACCGTCAGGCCCTGCGTCCTGAAGCAGAACCCGAACGGCGCCACCGCCTTCGCCCTCGTCACGTTCCCCACCGCCGCCACGAAGGCGTTCGCCACCGCCGCGTAGATCGACGACTCCAGCACCGTGTAGGGGTCCACCGTGCTGATCTTCGTCCCTCCCCTCCCCGTCGCGGCGTCGATGGAGAGCAGCGTGGAGTTCAGGTTCGGGACGGGCTTCCCGCCGACGTTGATCCCCGTCACGGGGATGAAGTACTCGGAGGACGGCTCCCCGGCGGTGGAAGCGCCGGCCGTGCTCACCGGGTTGATCAGCAGGCGTGTGTAGGTTAGCGATTGGGATGTGTACTGGACGTTGGGGAGAAAGTTGTACGGCCCGTTCCCGAAGAAGACGACGCCGTTTGAGGACCCCAAGCAGACGGCAAACTTCCTCGGGAAGCTGAAGGCCGCGGCGAACTGGGATGGCAGCGCGATCCTCGTCCTGCCTGTACATGCAGTTAGTTCGTGTCGGCATCAAATAAATAAATTAAATGTTATTGTTTATTTATCTAATCTAAATGATCTCTTGATCTACAGTCAAATTAATATTAGTAAGTACCGAGTCCTGCCACGCCGGCAGATGGTGGGGCCAGGCCGCGGGTCAAGAAGCCGGGGGCGCATGCGAAGAGGAAGCGGGGCACGGAGACGGAGCGACCCGGGTTGGAGCCGTCGGTGGAGTTGAGGGAGATGACGTCGGTGGCGAGCTCGCCGGATGTGGAGGTGGAGGTGATGGGGTTGTAAGGGAAGATCCCACAGGTGTTGTTGTTGCAGCCGGGGGTGGGGCGTGGGGTGGAGAAGCAGTCCCCGCAGGCGGTGGAGGCGGCGAGGGAGCAGAGGGCGGAGCCGCAACGGGCGGGGCGGTAGGTGGAGGAGAGGTAGGGCTGGTCGCAGTTGACCCAGAGGGAGTCGCCGCCGAGGTGGAGGAGGAGGGTGAGAGGGACGGGCGGGGTGCGGTGGAGGAGGGTGGTGGTGTATTGGCGGGTGGCGGTGTCTTTGGTGACGGAGAGGATTAGGGATTTCGGGCGGAAGGATGGTTGCTGGGCGAGGGATGGTTGCGGGGAGAGGGAAAGGAGGAGGAGGAGAAGAAGGACGGAAGAGGCATGAAGGAAGCGGTGGTGAAGGGAGGAAGCAGCCATTGTTGTTTTTGGTGGATGTAACTATGGGTTGTGGGGTGTTCATGTGGTGTTATTTATAGGTGTGTTGCCGTGCCATTGCCCATTTCCTATGACATTATCATCTTTGGAACCTACATAATTTTGTTCATTTGTCGTAAGAAAACGTATGAACAAAACCCCTATTTGAGATGGTGTGATAAAAAGTTCATTATATATTATCTTCTTCAAATTATTTGCTTTCAACCACGAAATAAATAAATCCTGATTAAATTTTGAAGGACTGATCTAATGGTAATGTAGGAGGATAAAATTCATCACTCACAAATTTGAAACTTTGGGAACGACAACCATCTAAAAAGAATGTGGCAAATCCTTAATCGGGCTCTGTCGAGTGTGGGAGGCGAAGATACCTCCGAAGTTGAAGGTTTTTGTATGGCAAATCCTTAATCGGACTCTGCCGACTATGAATACGCTTATTGAGAAGAAGGTTCAGGTACTTCCTCGGTGTCCAGTTTGTTGGGATAGCCCAGAAACTATGGAACATATGTTCCTCACTGTCCGGTTGCGCGGGCTCTCTGGGACTACTCAGGGCTGGAATACCTAGGGGAGGGTTTGCCTCGGCACACTTTTCCTTTGTTTCTCAAGCGTTTGTTGGGTCTGATTTCTCAACCGTCCATGGTTATGGCTATTGTTGCCATCCTTTGGAGGATCTGGCGGTCTCGGAATTGAGTTTTTTTTAGGGAAAAAAATTCGGGATTCCGACACTCATGCGGCAGTTTCACCAACAGTATGAGGAATGAGTGTCTCTCCCAGTGGATCAGGTTCCGAGGATGATTGTCCCGAGGATGCAACCAGCGGCGCAACCGGGTGATTTCCAGGTGGGTTGCATGTGGGACGGGGCTACGAAGGGTGGGTCGCATTCGGCTGGTGGGATGGTTCTCCTTGGCCCAGATCGGACACTCCTTCTGGCTAGAGGGGTTCAGTTTCCTCAACTGGATGACCCGATGATGGTAGAATTGCTTGTGCTTAGAGAAGCTATTGTTTGGTGTATGGAGCAAGGATTGGCGGTGGTCCGATTTGAGGGCGATGCAAAGGTCATTATTGACAGAATTAATCAAGCCATCATGAGAGATAGCCGGTTGGGTGCTGTTCTAGAAGAGATTGGTCATTACTTTCGTACCCAGTCTAGTTTTAGTGTGCGGTTTGTAGGTCGTGAGAACAATAGAGTAGCTCATTTGGTAGCTAGGAAAGCCCTTTCATTGTATCCGACTATGAGTTGCTTCTTTGATTCCCAGTCCTGGCTGGTTTACAGGGTGTAATTGTCTATGTTTGATCAATACAAGATATCTTTTGGCAAAAAAAAAAACATCTAAAAAGAATAAAAATTAAAAAAAAGTGGTTAATGCGAAAATGTTTGTTGATGAGATTAATGTGATTGTGAAAGTTGTAAATGATTGTTTATTTGATATTGGGAATTTCGAATAGATAGTTGATGAAATTGTGTGAAATAATTTATTATGTACAAGATGTAACTTTCTCTTCTTGACACGTTATAACAAGAGAAAAAAGGTTTATTGTCTATTGTGAAAAAAAATTCATTTGTCTCTCAGTTCAGGCACAAAAGTTATATGTTCGGATATTAAAATTAACCTACTTTACCACATAATTTATAAGAGCGCGTAAAAAAAATTATTAGTTGATAGATGAGATAATTATGAAGCATAAATATAAATTATCTCCATTAATAATGATGAGACAGATAATTAATTTTCTCCTTCGATAGTAAAAGAGACTTCTTCACAAGAAATTTTGCTCCTAAATTACCGGTGATGTCAGTAATGTAGCTAGAAATTCAACTACGATTGGTCGAAAGTAAGTCTTGAATTAGGGAGTTCTTAGTTCACTTCTGGGACGGATACGGTGACAACCCCTAAGGGGTTGTCAGATTCACAATCAAGGATATTTTAGATATGAAAAAAGGAATATATTAATTACATTTTTTGTATTAATTATCTTGGAAATTAAAAACCCATATTAAATACAATTTTTTTGAAATTTAAATCCTATACATTAATATCTCTATCTCTCTCTCTCTTCCTTTCTCCAGCGACCACTCTGCATCGACGGACAAACTTTTTCTCCGGCGAATTCTCTCCGGCAGACTCCCTCTGGCAATCTGAAAAAATGTACCAGTGCGTTAAAAAGTGTACCAATCCATTAGTCTACTGGTAATTAATATACCAGTGCGTTAAAACATGTACCAGTACTAGTGGTACGCTACCAGTGCGTTAAAAAATGTACCAATACTAGTGGTACGCTACCAGTACAGCACTGCCACTACCATATTGTATCGTACCACTAGCACTGGTAGCGGTACCAATAGAGAAAAACACAAAAAAACAGATGATAGTGGTACCAGATGATAGTGGTACCAGTGAGTAGTGGTAGGGGAGCCACTGGTACGTACCAGTGAGTAGTGGTATCGTACCAATAGGAATTGGTACCACTAGCATTGGCGGTCTTCTCCTCGAGATTCTTCACACCCCCGGCGGTGGCCTTGGCGTCGAGGAGGTCGTTGAAGCTGACGCCGGAGGCAGAGAGCTCGGTGTAGAGCGGCATGGAGCTCATGGTGTTGTCGAGGAGCTGCACACCCATGTTGAGGATCCCTTGCGCCCGACCGGAGGGGCGGTGGATCTGGAGCGCGACGATCTGGACGTCGATTTGGACGTTGCTGATGAGAACGCGGACGGAGCCGATCTGGACGTCGCGGAGCCAGGCGACGGCGTAGATCTCGATCATGATGGCGGGGACAGCAGGCTGTGAACGGTGGGCACGAGAGAGGAAGAGGGAGATGCGGCGGCAACGTCCGCGGAAGAAAGGGAGGAAGGGAAGAAGGAGGTGGTGAACGACTGTGAAGTTGGCATGAGTTAGATTAGGGTTTTATTATTTTATATGGGAGGAAAAATGATTGGGTGTGGTAAGTTTTTTTCATCCCAAAAACACCCTTCTTTTCATCTCAACCTTCAATTTAAAAATTACAGGAGAGAGACAAGAGAGATAATACATCTAATAGCTATAAAGTGGGTTGTCAAACCCACAACCCCTTAAGGGGTTGTCACCATAACTCGTCCCTTCACTTCTTACTCTCAACGACCTATTATACTTGATTTTGTGGATACTTACAAACAGCCAATGTAATATGCAAATGACTCAGCTCGATATGAATTGCATATGCCATTGAGGGGAACGGATCAGGTCAGTAATCTTATGGTGAGTAACCATGAGTAACCAGCCCACATCAGCATCCTCTATCTCCTGGAAAGCCTTTAATTTTCCCCTCTTTAATCTTTGACGGACGATTTCTCACTCATTTTAAATCGAATTTTTTTTTTTTGCACAGTTAGATCAGATTAATTGTGATCTTCAAAATGATATCCCCTTTAATATATTTTTCGAACAAAAAAAATTGAGCCATTTTTTACCAGTCTATACCATATGGTATTGACTGGTATTGAAATAAAAGCATACCTATGGTTCGAAAAACGTACCATGGTGGTATGAACAAACCAAGACTGTAGGATGGTTGAATACATGATAATAGAAGTATATTAATTGTCATTTACGACTTTTAACATTGTATACCACACAATACCACCCCGTACCAGGGTGGTATTGTATGATATTGTGTGATATTTTTTGGTCCTGTAATTTGTTCACCCAGAAATTTGTAGATCCAATAGATCATGATGAACTCGTCCCTTCTGTGCAAATGTTTTCAAAAACGAATTAAAAACGAAGAATATACCATACAATACCACCCCGTACCAGGGTGGTATTGTATGGTACGGGGTGGTATTGTATGGTATTGTGTGGTATTTTTTGGTCCTGTAATTTGTTCACCCTGAAATTTGTAGATCCAATAGATCATGATGAACAATCCCTTCTGTGCAAACTTTTTCAAAAACGAATTAAAAACGAAGAAGATACCATATGGTATGCAGTTGGTACCGAGAGGTCAGAATTTATTTTTTCTAAAAAAATATTGAAAATTGTTCTCATTGGTAGAGCACGATGAACTCGTTCCATCTGTGCAAAAAAATTAAAATCCGAGTTAAAACGAAAAAGATATGAGCCAATTAAGAAAGCTAGGAAACATAAAAATGGTACTTAATTTTCAATCCTTAGATCTGGATTTTCTAAATAAAAGGTCCAGATTTGGTTATTGATGGATGCATAACCCATGGTTATGCACCCTATCTTGAGCGCCATTGAGATATGATAAACACGTTTTATCTAACTGTGTAATTAGCATTCCTTATCATCCATATCTTCATATGTGGCTGGCGGTGGTGTAAACTGTAAAGTGTTTAGAATGTCAAAGGAGGCAATTTGGATTGAAGCAGTCGGTACAAAGAAGGAGGGAGGATTGTGGACAACTCATGAGAATCCAGATAGCGGCTTTTGACTTTCTTCCGTTTAACCACCCCTAGTTTTGTTAAGCCCTTCACGTATGTATATTGTATTGGATTGGACTATCACAAAATTCAATTTCTTTACCATTGTTTTGAAAAAATGTCAAATTCTTTACAGCCAAGTTAGAACGGACTGTTGCGTTCTTATGGAAATGGGGTTTATTTAGTTAAATAGAGAGAGATTAAGAAAACGGATTCTATGCGTTTCAAAGAAGAGAAAATAGAGACGGTCATGTACAAACTTTCGACGTGATGGTTAATGTTTGTGATACCTTATTACTTGGTAGTATTGAGATTGTTGATAACATAGTTTTTTTTTTATGAATGGCAATATATAGTATAAGAAATCAGTACTTATATAAGGGAGTTCACCAGACTTGGTGGTGGCGACGGCGAGTGGGAGGTCGACGGGGGAGGCTAAGGGGTGAGGGTTTTTCTCTGTGTATAGGAGAGAGGGGTTGGGTCGAACATATGAGGATTAGAAGAAAGAAATTTTTTCTATTTTTTAATTAATATGATAATTAGGAAACTTTAAAATGTTAATTTATTATTTTTAATGGCTCCACATCACACATCTAATAATCAACTATAAGAGTTGATTGCCACATCAAACAAAGTTAACAGAGTTGGACGGAGAGTCACCAAACTTGAACGGTGTAACTGATTTGAACGACTACAAATGAAATAAAATAATTTTAGTGGCAAACATGAAACTTTTTAGTAATTCTAGTGACCAAACTTGTAATTTACCTTTTTCTGACTAGTCCAGTGATATTCGCCACACCTTATCCTAAAAAAATAATGAATCGCTATTCGTCGCCCTATAATTTGAATTTTATCGCCCTAAATAGTACCAAATTAACATTTATACCCCTATACCCAATTTCAATCACTAATCGCTGACTCGGATTGTCGTCCAGACCACCAACCGTCCGACCTCCGCTGTCGTTCCCCCTACTTGCCGCCGCTCCCCTTCCCCCACTCCGCCAACTAGGGGTGGGAAACGGGACGGGATTGGGTACCCGTTCCGTTTCAACCGGGTACTCGTTCCCATTTGGAGAGAAAACTCTATTCCATTCTCAAACCCGTACTGGTTAACGGGTACTCGTTACCTGTACGGGACGGATAACGGATACCCGCGGGTACCCATATAATACCAAAAATGACAAAAATATAATTCGTTTTAAAAAACGTAACCTAAACATATTAAATCGGCCAAATTAACATGACAACCAATATAACCATACCAACATAACTATAATCATTCTTTAGGTTTATGTCTTATGTATGTTGATTAAAACTGGTGCATTACTCCTTTCTCAAGCGTGCGAAGTATCCATTTTTTCGTTCCAAAAGTAAAAACAGATAAATGACAATATTCATGGCTCTCGTAAAGGGTCTGGTTAGTTGGGATAAGTTCTTGTGATTAAAGCCTCGTGAGAGCAACTGCTAGCTCAGGTTCCTTTTAATAATAGAATTGTTCGAATTCAAAGGGAAAAAGGTGCAGAAACCCCAACTAGGGCCGTTAAAATGGCTCATTGTTGGGCTAGAATATATCTAGCTTAATTATAGGTGAATTTAGATACGGGTGTGATGGTTTTGGAGCTTGCGTTTTTGGCTAATGGATATTACGGGTACCCGTATTACTCAAACGGGTATTGACGGATATCTCGAAGGTACCCAATGTAAAATTATTGATCCCAAGTCCCATTCCGTAGAAAAAAAATTACAGGTATTTGGGTACCCATAACCCTAAAAAAACGGGACGGGAACGGGTATACCCAAATACCCGTTTGCCGTTGCCACCCCTACCACCAGAGGAAGGAGAAAGAAGAAGCATGAGGTAGAGTTTAATGGTTATAGTTATAGTTATATTTAACTTATATTTAGTCAGCTGCTGTCGTTCCCCGGCCGCCCACCGATCCGCTGTTGCTGTTTCTTTTTCCAACACAGGCAATTTCATTCGTTGATTTCTAGCATTCATTCAAGAACAGACAGATTGCAAACACAAAGGGGCACCAAAAATCAATCAATTTTCGACTTCTTATCATCCAACCTAGCATTCATTTCATTGCAGAATCAATCAATGAAGATCTGCCAAAACACGCATATTGAAATTACAAATTCCCAGCCATTCAAAGGCAACACGGCAATGCCCATGATTTTTTCCAAAACTATTCGAAGCTAACTTCAGAAGCCAACAATTACCATTCCAATTTATGCAGTAGTTAACTACTTACGATTATCTGAAAATATAACTAATTTGCAGGGAAAAGTGAAAAGGGAATTTAACTGGTACGACAGTGAATGAGTTTAGGCGGCATCAAATCGCTGTCTTGAAGAGGCAAATCGATTAATGGTGGCGGTGCGGTGGGCAGAGGGGCAAAGTAGTGATGGTCAATTCAGAGTATTTAAGTCATTTTAGTGAAAGTTAGGGCGGCGAATAGCAATCCCCAAAAGATATTACACTAGCTACAAATTGATCTACGAAACACTGTAAGAGTGGCAAAGTAACTTGGAATGGTAGCACATGGAGGATTTGCTTCCCGATATCCAAAGCTGGAATATGACCAACGTCAAGCATTCTTAGCAGTGACATCTTATGGCCAGGACCCAGGAGTCAGGACAGACAACTATCGTATTAAAATTACACCAGAGTAAAATCTCAAAGGACCGGTTCAGGGCGATGTAGATTCTCCAGCATCTAAAGGTTCTTCTGGTGCTGTAGAAAACCTCTTTCAACAACTACTCATGACTCCTACAGTGCGGAAAACAAAAGACATTGATTCTCACTTCTCAACTGTCAGATGCTCACCTACATGCGAACGCATCCTATTTCGGCATTGTGGCTCCATGGCGTTCATAATCCTAACTCGAGGAATCTAAGTCACGTTGAGCAAAACCAACATAATCTCTTGAAGAATGGGAATCTAGGACAGGGCCCAGGGGTAGTACTTTTATCTAATAATGTCAGCTTTTTCACAGTTGAACCATGGATCCCAACACACCCATACTAAAGATCAGTCTCCTCTCCAAAACACTGATCCCAGACTCTGTAAAAGGTCTTCTAATCAGATCATTCAATGAACTGAGCTAGCCATTTCATAACCACACGAATCTATTGCTGCCTGCGAGGACTTCAAAGTCTAAACAGAAGAAATTCTACATTTGGCGAATACCTACTACAAGTACAAACACTTGAGCATAGAAGAAGGCAGCATCTTTATATACCTAGACCTGACGTTCCTGATACTTGAATTACGGTCAAGTTTTTCAATTGTGAGAAGTTCGCATGATACAAGAGATCGACAGAGAGTTAGTTTTTTTCTTCGAAGAGTAATAATATCAGCAGAAGAATAGTCTCGAGAAGACATACCTATTGACATTAATGTAGGCTTAGCAAGTGGAACCCAAAAGAAAAGATCATCTTCTCATTTGTCTCTCAGAACATCAACAGATTCGTTGTTGTCCCAACAACAAAAGGTTCCATCAATAACCGCGTCAAGAAGTAAAAGACGACTCCCAATGCTATTGAGATCGGGAGAGCTGGCAGAGCTTGACGGCAGACCGACAACAAAATGAGAGTGCAGCCAAGCCCTGAAATAATAGCAAGGTAGCATGCATACACTGTCATTAGATCATACATTGCAGCCCTACCAACAAGGACACTGTAGAAAATGAAGTCTCCTAGACCCAGCTTAATCCCACTACTCGCTAACTCAGACTCCGAACCATCATCATCCATCCCTCTCTCGGCTCTCTCATTCCCACTGCCACGTCTCCTAGACTCAACCAGAGGAGATCTTTCTTCATCTGCAACAATCTCAGGGGCATCACGACTGCCAACAACTACCGAATACTCTGATCCAACACTGCTTGAAGATGACCTTCCACCCAAATCACCACCCACCAGTGGAGACCTCTCAACTTCATCTCCTTCTTGCAGAAGACCTTCCAAATTCCCTGGATTTGTGGACTCGGATACAATAACTTCTGGATGCACATTCTGCTCGCCACCTTCCCTAGTCCCAATGTGGTTCCCAGAGACGGGTTGCATCTCCACTGATCCCAATTGTGAAGCTGCACCAAACAGAAGCTCCAAGCTCCGGCCTTGATGACGTGAATCGGCTAAAACAGTTGGCCGTGCTTCATATATCAGCGCTGGTAGCTCCTCGTCCCTGCTTTGGGACAGCTCGACCAACAACTTGAGTGGCCCAGCAGGTGCCAGAACTGCAACCAAATCATAGATTGCTAATGTTACTAGCAGCGTCCAAGTAGTCCATTCTGGTAACTTCGTAAACCAAGCTGCCACAAATATTCCCAGTGCTACCATATATGATTGCCTCAAGAAGATTGGTATGCCACTGGAGAAGATCGATAATACACCCACAATTGTAAAATTGAACAGCAAAACAAAGCAGGTGATTGAATCGACGGGTACTGAGAAGTGCTGAATTATTGACAGGAAAATCGAGCCCCCCATGCTCCCTGGCGATTCAGTAACGAACAAACTCAAAAATCAGAATCAAACCCACCAAAACGAGCAGAGGATCAAAGCTAGGGAAGTGGGAGATTATCCTACCCAGCACGAAAAATGCGGAAAAGCGCATGTAATTCTTCAAGAATCCGGTCCAATTGTAGTAGTAGAGCAGAACGAGAAGGAAAGTGACGACGGCAATTATGATGACGAAAACCAAGGCATTGAGCAAGGCGCCCTCAAGCTTCTGGATAGTGGAGTCGGTGGGTACCTCCAAGTAAACGAGGTTAGCAGCTGAGCGAATCGGCGGCGCTGAATCGGTGGCAGGGGAGAGGGAGTAAACGATCAGAACTACCAGAAGCATGCAGATCGAGACTGGGGACATTACTCCGATGATCTCCACCCCGATCGATTCCAGTATGCTCGACTCCATTTCCAGGTTCGTCGGAGTCGAGAAACCTTTTCTGGGTCTTTCCGGTTCAATGCATTTTCCCGGTGGGGAGCATTTGTAAAATTAGGGTTGTTCTGTTGAATTGGGAATTGTACTGTTTACTGCTGCTTGTTTGCCCGAGGAAAACTATTTTTCTTTGATTTTTCTTTTTGTAGAAATCTATTGGGTCATTTGGAAGTTGCGATTGTTAAATAGATGTATTGTTGAGAATGCATGTATAATATTATACATGTATTGTCGATGTATTGTCGAATTTGATGCATTATATATTACAACGTTTGGTATGCGTGATTGTGTATGTCGCATCAGCTAAAAACTGAGACAAAACAATCTCAACTCGATTATCTCAACAATCACAACTAAAAGTTGAGATATAACAATCACTCAAAATGAGTGATAGTTTCTGTCACATCACAAAAAAACAAAAGAAAAAACGTATGCATTGTAAACAATACATGCATAATGACAATCTCAACAAAACTATCGCAACTTCCAAACGCACCCTATGTTTTTTTATGCTAAGCCTAAAGTCATATGAGAGGTTGTGGTTAAAATTAAAAAAGTTGAGTTTTGCCACTAAAATTAATTTATTCTATTTATAGTCATTTAAATTAGTCAACCGTTCAAATTTGTTCACTCTCCGTTAGTCTCCGCTAACTTTCGATGACGTGACAGTCAACTCTGAGAGTTCACCGTTAAAAAAGTGACGTGGCACTTAAAAAAATTTAATCTTCTAAAGATTTCACCTCATTATCACAATAAATTAATAAATAAAAATAATTGTAATTGTAATAACAAAAAATGCAAAATTGGAAAACAAAATTCATCCCCAACTCTTCTGCCGCTTCTTCTCTAATCTTTTACCTCATCCTGGCTCCTGGGCCAGGGGAGCTATTTCCGGTAGCCATTTGGCATAGGGAAGATGTAATCAAGAGCTGAATCGAGACATTGTCTTTCGAAGCTTGGATCTAGAGGTGACAATTAGGATCCAAATCCATGAATCCAATACAATCCATCCACCAAATTATCCACATAATCCAATCCATTTAAATCCAATCCATTTGATCCAAATCCAACTGGATTGGTGGATTCATGGATCAATCCATGGATCCAAATGGCAAATTACGATTTGGTACCTATATTTTTATATTTTACATTTTGGTACCTAAAATTAATATTTTTATACGAAAAATATCATTGGAAAATTACATTTTGGTACCTAAAATTTTTCATTATGACATTTTAGTACCAAAACTTTTCAAATTTTACATTTTGGACCAAGCCTTGGATGTCATTTGGATTCATGGATCAATCCACCAATCCATTTGATGTTAATCCATGAATCCACCAATCTATTGGATCCAATCCATTGGATCCATGGATCCACCAATCCAATCCACGAATCCGATCCAATAGCCACCTCTACTTGGATCAAACTCACCAACCTCAAAATCTTATGTCATGGATTGATGCAGGAAACGGCGCCGAAGTTAATCTGCTAACTGCTCAAAGTGTTAGCAGATACTAACAGGGCAGGATGAAGGGCCACGTCGGCGAAGTCTTCATCCAACGGAGGGGAGAGGCGGCGTGGTGGTGGCTCACTTAAGTGAGCTGTAGGTGGGCCAACGTGTAGAAGCCGGCCCAGCATGCGGCGGCGGCAGCGGATCCAAGCAAGTGGCGTGGTGGGCTGGTGGGCTCGGCTTGAGTTTGGGTGGGAGTATGGATAGGAGTGGAAAGCAAACGAAAATTGATGGGCCCCCTTTGATATTTATGTATGTTTGTTTGTGTGGATATTTGTTTGTTTCATTCGATATTATTTTGTGTTGTGTTGATATTACTTTGCATCATTGTTGAAATGAACTAGTATTCTTCCTTCGTAAACCAATATCCATCATTAAACTAATGTTTAACGGTGGCCCAAAATAACCCAACCATCATAAACTGATTACACCAATTTATAGTTTAAGTTTTAGGGTTTAGGGTTATGGTTTTCAATTTGTGAAGGATTGGAATATTTTGTCTTACATCAAATTAAACACACTATCAAATCTTACACACTATCAAGTCCTAACACATAAGGCTTGCAAACTTAGTTAGGGCTGCCCGCCGAGGGCCCATGGGCCGAAGGCCCATTAAATAATAATAGTTTTTATTGTTTATAGTTTATTTTTTACGGGTTATGGTATAGGTTTGGTTTAGGGTTTAGGGTTTACGGTATAGAGCTTAGAGTTAAGGTTTCAACAATAGGGTTTGGGTTCTCTTTTAGCATATAAGGTTTAGTCTGGTCAGTATGAATATCTATTCTTTCCTGATTATATTGTTTTTAGAGTTTATTTAGTAGTGTTCATCGCTTAGGGTTCGGGGTTAGGGTTTCTTGTTTCAATATTTCATGTTTTATTTTAGATATTTGTGTATAACCTTTGAACATTCTCGGCTTGGGCTAGGGATGGCAATGGGGCGGGTATGGGGCGGGTTTGCTTTAACCATCCCCATACCCATCTTCAAATACCCAAACCCATACCCGCCCCATACCCATGCGGGGGAATGTTTTGCAAACCCATCTCCATACCCGTGGATTTCGGGTACCATGGGTAATACCCATACCCGTACATCCAACATTATTATACCTAAAACTTACAAGAAAAGTTCTGATTATAATTCTAAAGGAACATATTATATCATGAAGTCAATAAACACACGGTCATTTTTTTAATATGGTTCAAAGATTATGATCCTAAAATATCCATTAATACATAATATAGAGTATAATATTTTTCAAATTATTATGTTCTAACTCTGATAAATCTACTAAATAATAATTAACTAACATAATCTTGTTGACAAGGGGGAAAGTGAAAGAGTGAAATGAGAATTGAGAGAAATGAATTAGATTTTGATTAAGGTGGTCAATCAATTGCATTTCTACTATTTATTTTCTCAAGTTATCCTCATTATCATTGATAGATTATAATTTGATGAACATATTTTTTTATATGTGAAGAAATTATCTTGGTGGGGCGGGTATGGGGCGGGGGAGGCTAAAACCATACCCGCCCCATACCCATCAACTTTTTGCGGGTTTTACCCATACCCGCCCCATACCCGGTCAAAGCGGGGATTCCCCGCGTTGATTGGGTCGGGGGCGGTCGGATACCCGCGGCCATGGGTTTGATTGCCATCCCTAGCTTGGGCAAACAATAATAGTTTTATTTTTTTAGTGTTTAGTGATTAGGGTTTTAGAGTTTAGAGTTTAGGGTTAGGGTACAAATAAAAGATATTAGTTGGTGTGTTGTGGATACTTGTCTTTCCTAGTTGTAATACTTTTACTAAACACATGATATTTATTTAAAACATTCTGATATTTTCCGGGTTGTGTGGATATTTATTTGAACCTGAGAAAATATTCCTTTAGTTCATGTGTTTAGATATTTGTGTGTAATTTTTGAATATTCTCGGCTTGGGCAAACAATAATAGTTTTATTTTTTTTAGTGTTTAGTGATTAGGATTTTAGAGTTTAGGGTTTAGGGTTTATGGTTAGGGTACAAATAGAAGATATTAGTTGGTGTGTTGTGGATACTTGTCTTTACTAGTTATAATACTTTTTACAAACAACTTGATATTTCTTTATAAAAAATTTTGATATTTTTCCGGGTTGTGTGGATATTTATTTGAACGTGAGGAAATATTCCTTTAGTTAATGTGTTTGGATATTTGTGTGGAACCTTTGAATATTCTCGGCTTGGGAAAACAATAATAGTTTTATTTTTTTAGTGTTTAGTGATTAGCGTTTTAGAGTTTAGGGTTTAGTATTTAGGGTTAGGGTACAAATATAAGATATTATTTGGTGTGTTATGGATACTTCTCTTTCCTAGTTGTAATACTTTTTACTAAACACTCGATATTTCTTTAAAATATTTTGATATTTTTCCGAGTTGCGTGGATATTTATTTGAACTTGAGGAAATATTCCTTTAGTTCATGTGTGTTGGATATTTGTGTGGAACCTTTGAATATTCTCAGCTTGGGCAAACAATAATAGTTTTATTTTTTTAGTGTTTAGTGATTAGGGTTTTAGAGTTTAGGGTTTAGAGTTTAGGTTTTAGGGTTAGGGTACAAATACAAGATATTAGTTGGTGTGTTATGGATACTTGTCTTTCCTAGTTCTAATATTTTTTACTGAACATACGATATTTATTTAAAACATTTTGATATTTTTCCGGGTTGTGTGGATATTTATTTGAACCTGAGGAAATATTCCTTTAGTTCATGTGTTTAGATATTTGTGTGGAACCTTTGAATATTTTCGGCTTGGGCAAACAATAGTTTTATTTTTTAGTGTTTAGTGATTAGGGTTTTAGAGTTTAGAGTTTAGGGTTTAGGGTTAGGGTTAGGGTACAACAATTTGATATTAGTTGGGGTGTTGTGGATATTTGTCAGTCTTTGTTGTAAATTTGTTTTACTTATTTCTTGATTTTTTCTTGTATTATTTGGATATTTGTTTGGGTTGCTGGGATATTTGTTTGAACCTAAATAATATTCATTTATTTTTTGTGTTGGATATTTGTGTGGTTTGTTGAGATACTATTAGTGGTGGCGTGGATACTTGTTATGGTGAACATCTTAGTATGGGTGGGCCCGAATCAGTTTTGGGTGGGCTTTTGGGTCTTTTCAAAAAATTGGGGAAAGAAAAGAAGTGATAGGACAATTAATGCCACAACCACTTTTTCTCTCTCAACTCTCCCAACCCCTCCTTCTCTCTTCTTTTCTCTGAATTCCCTCTTCTTTTCTCTGACGGAAAAGTCGCCGGCGGCGGCTTGTCTGTTTCCTCTTCATCCTCCGCCGTCCAGGAAACGTTGCTGATGATGATCGATGATGAGGCCGAGTTAGATCGTCCATCAACGAGCTCGTCCCATGAAGAAGAAGAATTTGTTGATGGTGTATTAGAAGGTTTGACTCAAATAGATGGTGGTTGTGTGTTTGGCTTCGATGCAACAGTACAAGAAGAAGAAGAAGGTGATTGTGGATTGACATATTTATAAGTTTTTTTTTA